AAGAGAAAGATAATATATATATATATATATATATATATATATATATATATATATACACTTACATAAAACACAAAGTGGTAATGTCTGTCCACTTGCCATGACAACTTTTCATTATATATATATATATATATATATCTTTTTGTGTCAATATTATTATAGTATTGTGAAAGGTTGTTCATTCTTCATAACTTCATAAAAAAAAATTCACATCAGATTGTGTCCAGTACGAATCTAAATTTCATAACATGGGTTGATCCTAGTAATATTAAGATTAACCTTAATTAATTATACTAATTTATATTAATTATTAAAATTTTATGTGTTTTCTTAATAAGACTATACTATTTTATTTTGTGATGTTAATATTATTAGCATATTCTATAATTTCTATTTATATTGATATTCTCAATAAAATTTTAGTTGAGAAAAACATTATTTTTGAAGAATTGAAGGATGTATCTATTTGGGCCATAAAAGCCCAATAACAAGAATTATTATGGGTGTAATAATTAATTCATTCTATTTTCCTTTTTCGTAAACCCTTCTCGATAAATCTCTCTCTCTCTCTCTCTCTCTCTCTCTCTCTCTCTCTCTCTGTTTTCTTTGGAGATTCTTATTCGACAAGCCTTTTTTTTTTTTGTTTAAAATGATTCGACAAGCCTTGATACCGTCGTCTTCGATTTCCTCCTGCGGCGAAGTTTTCCGACGACTTTCCTACTTCTCGAGACATCGGTGGCCATGGGTTCGTTCAATCTCGTAACAAAGGGCTTTTTTTCCGCAATCGATTCATTCTCTAATGTCTAGCCGAATCAAGACATCCTCCGAGTTATAGAACGTTTTTGCTTATCGATGGGTTTTGTCTGTCGGGTTGGTTTTCACGATTCGTCTGCGCGCTCTGTTCTGTTCATCACTTGTCCCTTAGGGATTTGAGGGCTTTGGTGTGAGTTTGTGTGTTTGGGGGTTTCTGATTCGAAAAGTTCGTGTCTTTCTAATTACCAAAAAAAAAAATTCGTATCTTTCTCTGAGAGATTCTTCAATCTCTGGGCTTTCAGTGATGGGTTTTCGTATTTTCATGTTTCAGCAGG